GATTTTAATGGATGCCCATAACAAAATTTTCTCATATAGTAGTATGAATATAATTTTAACTTCAGTCTTCTTGCCTAATTATATTAATTCTATATATAGACTCCTACGAATATTCACATTAAATTCTTGGACTCAGCTATCATTCCAACTTATATATAGATGCATGATGTTAACATTTTCAAAAAAATAAACCTTATGTCATGCATGTGACTAATGCTTCCACCACATCTCAGTGAAATTTAACTCTACTAATTTGTAAAAGACTCTTTAATTAGTACGTATACGTAGTTTGATAAATAATTACAAAATAATAATGAAGAGAGATTACTGTTTTAGGGTAACAAAAAAGTATCATAGAGAGGGAATAGTATAGTGATTTTGGTAAACAAATTAAAATAAGAAAAAAGAGGATAAGTGTTTGAAAAGGATGAAAATAGAGAAGGCCCCTCTCGTGTGACCAGGAAAAAAAAGAAAAAAGAGAAGGCCCCTCTCACAGAAAATCCCACCTGACGTGGTCGCATTCACACCCCATTTTACATTGCCACTCCATTGTTGTTTGGTTGGTTACATGAGCTGGTTTGCGAAATCTCTTTCATTAGTCAAATCTATTAAAATAAAATTCATCTCACGACGTAATTTCTTAAAATACAGTTACTTGTAAACAGATTTTTCTTGTAGATATTCATACAAAAGTAACCAACTATTTAGAATTTTATTAAAATATATAAGATTTTTGTAATTGCTAGAAAATATACAACCATTTTGTCATGGTGTTTGTGTACATTCGACTCAACGAACGTTTTGAAAATAAACTCTAATAAATCGGCATGTATCCATTTGGTGCATCGGCGTTGGTATTTTCTATTTTTTATTCAGTTATGTGCTTTTTTGTTGTAAGATTATGATCTTATTATACTAATACCTTCAAGTCATTGTAGACTATAATTTGTAGTGTTAAGTAATATAATAACAAACAAACAAATAGTTTGTGCAAAATCAAACCATGCAAGGAAAGGAAGAAATTATTTTTAAACTATACAATTTGTCAATCGTTCAAGTATATAGGCCCATATTTGTACTTGAGGCCCATCGTTGTACCTCTCCATTACTTATCAAGTTATCATGCCGCTACCTAGTTCAAATTCAATAGTTTGCTTTGCGTGTGAGAGTCGCTGACGGAAGCAAAATAAACTTGTATGTAACTATGTATAGTTCTAAATTGTGAATATACTGGGGAATTTTTATAAATATATACATGATTTTTGTGTTAGTTTTTATCAGTCTTTTTGGAAATCTGATTTCAGTTTCACATCAAAACAAAAACCATCACATGGTTGAATCCCAACGGATCCATAATACCATATAGTGTGACATGGGGGGATAAAAAAGAAACCATTTTATTCAATTTAGAGAAATACCAGAACTACTAAAAAAGACATATATTCATCCTAATTACAAAATTTCATTACTTTTATATAGTAGATAAATAGCAACAATCTGCAATCAAAACAGCCGAATT